GCTGGAGCCCCAGGGACTCCAGCTGCAGGTGTCAGCCTGGGCTCCAAAGGACCTTTGTGGCTGAGATTGGTGCAGCACAGCCCAGCAGCACCTTCCTCTCCTCCAGCCAACTTTCAGTGCTCATTGACCAGGTCTGGGAAAGCACCCGAAGAGTTTGGCCACTCTCACTGCATTCCCCAGGGCAAACCTCACTGAATGATCACAGTGGGGCTAACATTCATGCTCCAAGACCTGAAACTTCACAGCCAGAGAGCTTTCACCTTTCTGCAGAGCTTCATCAAAATCCCTCATCAGAGTGGAAGTGGTGCAAAAACTAGCTGCCCCATAAAAAATGAAGAATTTAAAAATATTTTCAGTATGCAGATGCCTTGCCAAAAGCACAGTAAAGAGCCCACCGTGAATACATAACAGAAATAAAAAAATGTTTGCTCATTTCTAAATTTCCTGGAGTTTGCTTAATGTCAGCAGCCCCAGTTAAGAGCAGGAACATAAAACCCTGTGACAGCCACTGAACCCCCGACCTCGAGCAGCAGCTTTGCTGAGATTGGGTTTGGAATCATTCAGAGCATCAGCCTGCATCTTGTTACACTCACTGCAACTGATGCAATCCTGTGAATCTCTGCACCACTGGACATTTTTAACTCTCTGTGGACAGGAGTTATTTTATTCTCACAGGAATATCAGCCAGGGCTGCTCTGTTTCTTCAGGAACATTTGGGGAACAAGATTTCATCTAGTTTTTGTTTGAAGTAGTAAATATTTAGGAGAAGCAGAAGATAGCTTTCATCTGAAACATGTTTTTTACATCCTTGGAGCAGCGAGGCAGTGAGAAAAGGACTGGAGAACAGCCTGCCATTTCCTTTCCTCCCTGGTTTTTGGAGTGCTTTTGACCCAGCGTGTGTGCGCATGCACTCTCACCCCCTCGGGCTGCTCTTTTACACCGGGACTTCCTTGTAAAATCCAACTCATCTGTTCGAAGCAATGACTGAAACTCTGTCTATAAAATTATGGCATTTTTCCACTTGAAAAAAAAAAATAAATTAACACTTCATTTAAAAGTTATTTTTAAACCTAGTTGGCTTGAAGCCACCTTTAGTCATAACTGAAATGAATTCTTCTTTTCCTAGAATTCAATGCCTTCCTTTTTTAAAATATACTGGTTTAAAAAAAGTGAACTCAGTAAAAATGCAGAGTTATACTTCTGACTACACTGTTTTGCCCTCTGACATATCAGCAGTTTGCTTTTCAACAAAGCCAAAAAAGTCTTTAATTTTTTCTTCTTTAGGGACTTATCCTGAGCAGGGACTTGAGCAGTCCCAGAGCAGACACTCACCTCCAGCCTGACTCTGGCTGGGGCACTTGCAGAGCATCATCACAGCCAGGAACAGAGTTATGTCTGGAAGGGAACTGAAACCCCTTCAGAAACATGGCCAGACTTGAAAAGAAAGCACCAGAGCTTTATTCCAGTGTGAGACACCTCCTGCTTCTGGCACTGCACCTGCATTTCCATGGAAGAGCCAAGCACGAAACACATCAACGGGGAGCACTGTTGTCATATACACAGGGAGAATGAGGACCCTGACTTCACTGTGTTCCCATTTTCCAGGACTGTCTCAAGAGACAGGAAGACATCTGGACTCCTTAATGAAGTAGCTGATCTGGAATTTGGGTTTAGTAAAACTAACTCCCCTTTAAATAAAATTAAAATTAAAAGAAAAAAATCAGGAGAGAAAAAAAAAGTCTTTAATTTAAGCCATTAATATGTCACCAAAAAGTATTTGAAGGACCAACAGGCAAACTGAGCTGACAGCAAGAGTATTTTCCTTCTCTTTTCAGGGGGATTCTGCTTTTCCTAAGAGAAAATTCAAACTCAATTACTCTGGTTTTATATTCAGTGACTGTTTGCATGTGCAGCATTATCACAACTCAACTGAGATGTGAATATGGAGATTATAGACTTCAGTTCTACACATTCTCTAAAAAGTATCAGGAAGCACAGAATGCAAAATAATTAGAAGGCAAAGAATTTGTAGTCACTATCTGTAAAAAGTAATTTAAAGAGATTTTGGTTATCCAAGTTTAAGTTTCTCAAGTCTGAGCTCAGCATTTAAGTGTTTGGTACTTTGAATCAAGTAGAAATTATTGGCTAACTCAGGGCTTAATGGTGACAAAGGTGACTTTTAAAATTTTAAAGTGGCACTTTAAGGTTTTGAGATTTTTCTGTTGCTGCTGTTTTATTGCTTGAGTGCCCAGGGATTCATAAACAAAATTTCCTAAGGACCCAGCATCTATCTACTCTTTTCACCTAACCATGTTAGAAGACCATGGAGATGGACTCGGGGGGAATGCTTTAGTTTTTGATATTGTTTCAAACAGCAGTGTCTGGAGGGATGTTTCAAGAGGATTTGTTTTTTTCTTAATGGAAAGATGCACAGGGTAAGCAGCAAATCCACAGTGGTGGGTTAAGACAGTCAGACTCTGCACAACTGGACAATTCTGCACTCATTCCCCACACGAGGCTGTGGAGCTCAGTGTTAATATTAACAAAATGCAGTTTGCCAACATGTGCTTGCTGAATGAGGTAGGTCTCCATTACCTCATTCTACACGACCCTTTTACAGATTTTATCCAACAAAGCTTCTCAAGATATATTTATCTTTAACCATGTGAGAAATCTCACTTACAGTAATGATTGTGCAACAATAAAAAGTAAAAATAAAAATGGTTAGCAGACCGCTGACGATTATAAACCCTCTTCACTTCCCTTCCTCCCCCTTTTTCTTACAGACTCATTACTCCAATGTTTATTTTTACTTTTGGAAGTCCAAGAGTGCAAAGCTAAAGGCAGAGGTATAAAAGCAGCCACAGTCTGAAGGGATGGGTGAGTACAGGATCTTGACATGTGAGCATAGGACAGGATCCAGTGGATGAGCAGCACACTGGGCAGCACAGGAGGAGGGTTACAGCTCTTGTAGCAACCCAGGAAAGCTCTGCCAGGACAGTAAGGAAGGATTATGAAGCTTTTCAGCATAAAGTTGCATTAGAAGTTTTAAGACATTGTCATGAATCTCAATCTGCCATTCCTATCTCCTCCCTGACCTCTTCTCAGGAACTCTCTGGTCACCTCTCAGGTTTACCCGTGTCATTTTCCCACTCCACTAGGTAGAGAAATCTCAGTACTGTGGGGTTTGAGCCTCTGCAGGCAGCTGCAGGCTGGTTCTATCTGTCCAACTGGGATAACAGGATCTCCAGACTCCCACAGCAATGATCTGTGTGAAGGAGAAGGGGGAAGGCCTAAATGTAAGATCCTTACAAGGAACTGGGTCAAAGAGAAAGATCAGGATGGTTTCCTGGAGATTTCTTTTGGAGTTATCTTCTGGCTGGCAACCCAGGCCAGATGGAGAATGTTTCTGAACCTACAGCAAGAGCTGCCCTTGGCTCAGAGTGAAGGAAGAGTTAAGAACTCTCAGATCCTCACATCTCACAGGCTTCTCCTCTCCCAGCTCATGGGTATCCTGCTGAAATCTGTCTGGTGCTGACCTCCCTGGGGTGCCCCACAGCTCAGCTCTGGAGAACAGAGCTGGTCCATGCAGCTCCTGACATCCAGACTCACTTTGTGCCAGCCCCAAGAGCTCAGTGGTGTCCCACCTATCCCCATTTCCCTTAACAGAGCATCCACAGTCTCTGAGATCAGAGCAGCATCCACTGCAGCAGCAAAGCCTTAAGCCAGCGTGTCGTAAAGAAACATTATAAACACTACCTTGACATTTTAGTGTACACAGTTAACATTTACATTTCACACCACCTCCTCTGTAAAGCCCCTCTCTCCATGCCATCAATACACCAATTCTCTTAACCCCTCCTCACCCAACACTAAGAGCACCTTTTCTCAGGCAGGCCAACAAAACAGAATATCTTTGGTGCTTCTGAGCCCAGCCCCTGTGGAGACAGGAGTGGTCAAAAACTGGTTAAAAACCACAAAAATTAGAAACAGACAAAATTCCCCAATCTTCAAAACCTTTAAAACCCACCTGGGTCTATCCCAAATACCCCAGAAAGCTTCCAGCTCACTAAGAGATGCTACAGACAATATTCTAAGGCTACTTTCAATGTTTGCCATGAAGCATCTTTTTGATGCAGCAGATTCATCTTCCTCAGGTTAAATATACCAAAACAGGAAGGAGGGGAGGAAAAAAGTCACAAAAGCTGTCTAACTCCTTTCTGAGTTATGACAAACTCTCTCTGCATCTTATTCCAAAGCGTGAGATGTGCAATTTCCATTCTTAAGCTCAGTAAAAACGGCATTAAAAAGCACTAACCCTGGGAAACTGCATGATTATTCGTTTATCACATCAACATCAGCAAAACTGTCTTTTTATGTGCTGCTTACTTTCAAAAAAAAACCACCCCTACCACGCATATTTCAGTTCTCCCTCTCCACACCCCACACCCTTCTGCTGCTGTCCAGCTGGAACACATCAAGGGTCTAGAAGCCAAGTCAAATGTTGACCCCACCCTCCTCCATCCATTTTAAGGCACCTTCAAAGCCAGTACACTGATCTAGTTCAGCTTAGCCAACAACGCCAGCAAATCTGTTATTTAAGACTTTAGTGCTGGGTTTTTATAACTGCCCATTAATGCAAGCTTTGATGTATGGTCAAAAAACCCAGCTGTAATGAGTTTCATCAGACTGTAGTAACCTTTTCTCAGAAGGTCTTTATTACTATACCTTCATAATCTTTGGGCCCAATACTTTTATAGTATCATTCTTGCTGAACCTCCTTAAAAACAGCTCAGCAACACTTAACACTCTTTCCCCAAAATTAAAACAAAGAGCCAGTAACAGTTTTTCTTGAAGACACTTGTGCACCCACATTTTTAATCACATTTTGCTGTTAAGAGCGTGAAGGCAATAGCTGTGAGAACTGAAAGACAAACTAATTTTCATTACAAAGTCCTTCAGACAGGATACAAAAGGATTTTGTAAAAGGACAAACTTACTTTGTTGCTCCCCTTTGCAGGATGCAGCACGAAAGAAAAGAGGGGGAAAAAAAGAAATATTAGTTACATTTATTTTACATGCATTCAGCCTAGCTTGAACAGTTCTGGAAATGGCTCAAAGCAAATGAGGAACTGACTCAGGGAACATTCACTGAATCCTGTAGTCAGACAGCTTCCAGGGGAACACAGGGCATTCACAAAGCACTGAAATGTTCAGCAGAGCTGTTTTCCTCACTACACAAACATTCTGATCCCGCTTTCGCTTCCTTCGGTGGAAATCAGGAGCAGCTCCTGGGAAATCGGTGGATACAAATAAAAGGGAGAAGAAAACGAGGCCTGAAGTGATCTAGGGATGGGAGGGCAGCCAGAGGGATTTTCAGTGCTGGTAACACTGAACTTCAGAACACAAAGCAACCCCCTAAACATCTCTGAGCCTTCCACAACAACCATTCCCTGCAACTTGCCAGCCAATGGAAAGTTTCAAGATTCAAAGCATTTTAAAAAGCAAATGCTGAATTTTTAGATTCATCAGAGGAGATGGCCTTGGGAGGGGGGAGAAGGAATGGGCGGTGCTAACAAGGTAAAATGTGCAGAGCAAGTTACGACAAACATCTGGGCTATTATTTTGGTTTAATTGTGAGTTTTGCCATGAGCTGGCATCAAGAGTGTATAAAATACAGTGGGAAGCCAGCCAAAATAAACACCAGCCTACACCAGTTGAGAAATCAAGTCTGGGAAGGTTAGTCACAACGTTGTAGTCATTTTTGAACAAAAAAAGGAGAGTTTTGGATGCATGGGTCCAGAAAGGCAGCAGTAAAGTCAGCTGGTAAATGGATATCCTATTTCAAAGTGAATTGGCCACAGGATGATTTATATCAAGCAAGCTGACTTGCATATGGGTTGGAAAAATCAAAACACTGATTCATTGCTATCTGGGTGGCTGTCACAGCCCACGGCCTGACAAAGGCAAATGGATTGCGAGAAGGAGGTGACTTGGAAAAGTGCAAAGAATTTGGATCAGAGGAAATTCATGGGACAGTGAATATGGGAACATTCACTCTGTGCATCCCCATGGGCAGAGGGCCAGGGAAGACAAGCAAAATGAAGCAAGGAAATGAAGGAAGGGGGTCATTTATGGCCTTTAAAATATTAATGAGATTTGCTTAGGCAAAAAGAAAGGTTATAAAACTAAAACCTTGGATTTTAGCTTACAGAATTAAATGAGCAGCAGAGACTCCATGTTAGTGGCAACAAGTACCAATGTAATCAAACAATTGTATGTAGCACTACTAAAAAAAACAAAAATCAACAGAAAAATGAATATTCTTCATTGAGAATTTGTCCTTGGTGAGAATTCAGAACACATCTTTTTAATCACTGCCAGATTCCTACTTTTCCTTTAGTTTTCATTTCTAAACAGCAATTCAACTGCTGGTGCCAAAGTCTTGGATGCTCAGAGTTCCCAGCTGTGCCTCACAGGTAACAGAGAGTGAGAAGTTTGGTCTGGGAAGGGGCTAAGGAACCTCTTTGCCTTTTTAAGGCTGGGATCACAAAGTTGGGGGGAAGCACCAAAGTAAACCCAAGTTGCTGCCATTTCCTGGCAGTCCCTCCTACTTAAAAACATGGTCTCTGAATCTTTGAAGGAGATCAGAAGAATGGGGGGTGTCTCTAAAGTTATTTTATATTGTCAGAGGAAGGTGTGAAAAGGAGGAGCATGCACAGGGTTTTCATTAAATGCTTTCATTTTTATCTAGAATCCACTGGGTCTTCTAAGGTACCTTCTAAGGCCTTGGAGATTTTGCTTAGCAGAATTCAAAACTCTGAACAGCAAACTCACAGTCCACATCTGAACCTCTGGTCCTTTAGGAATAAAGTTTTGGAGGCCTAGAGTAGCATGGAGCATCTTTCCTGAACAGCTTACAAAACTACTGGGCGAATTTCAGACTACAGGCATTTGGAACAATAATATTTACTCTTTTTATAATGTAAAGATAACTCCTGCTCAAAGGAGAACTGTATTTTCACTCTCTTCTATTTCTTTCAAGGAAGTCTCTCATCTTGCATCTAAGACTCCTTTGACAGACCAACTTTAAACAAAACCAAGAATTCTTTGTAAACATATTTTGAATACCAAGTATTTTTAGGGGGAAGGGAGAGACAGGAAGACAGAAGAGAAGTTCAGAAATCCAACCAGTCTGTCTTGTTTAAGGATAAAGTACCAGATACACCAATAAGATAAAACCATCACAGAATACAAAATTAAACCAGAGGCAGCATCAGGCTTTTGTGAAATCATCATTAAAATCTAAGCAAGAAAAAACCAAAGCAATGCAGTATATTGGTCCAAGCAATTAATTAAGTAACCCCTCATAACAAATCCTTGTTAAGTGGCTTTTGATATTCTTAGGATCTACTGGAACAGGCTACAAGGTGAGTGAAAAGTCACCAACACTGTTTTACTTTTTAAAGCCTCAGATACCTGGTAGGTTTCCTGCTAAATGCATATTTACACTATTCTCTAAAAAAATCTGCATCATTACCATCATTACCATCATCACTGTTTTTTTCTGTAATAACTGGAAAATCCAGCAGAACAAGAATTTCTTCTTTATCTTTTTATGGTGGTCTTGAAACTTTGTATGAAGAGAAGAAGCTGAAGCCTGTTTGCATGAATCTCCTGGAGGAGATGCAGACAGAACTGCACCGGGAGCCACACGGGCATCACAACCATAAAGGCAGAAAAAGATGAAGAGAGAAGACAGCACAAGACCCTGGACTCGAGGAACCTGACCTTCCCATGGAAAGCAATCAGGGAGAAGAGCAAATTCATCAAATATTCAATCAAAGCTTCGTTTCTCAGAGCAGATTTTCCACCGAAGGCATCCAGCACTCCCTGCAGAAAGGTGAGCTGTGCATTACAGAAACTTTCAAAGTTCAAATGTTTCAAACTTTCAAAGTTTCAAATGCCAGGTATTTCTGCTAGTCAGCCTTCTCTTTGGATACATCTCCTCAAACCTTCACTTGAAGTAAAATATCAAGATATCTAGATCCAAAAAATAGTAAATAATAGCTGGATGCATTCTGTTTCCCAACTTTCTGTCATTTCTAGTAAATTAATAGAGGCTTTTTTATTGTATCCTGTTCCATTTGCTCCACATGATGATTAGCTGAGTAAAAATGCCTTTGGAAAGATTTAGCATGTGTTTCATACCCAAAAAATGATGCAGTGAATAAGTAAAATAAATATACACGATTGCCTGGAATGCTTCTGTCAGTTCTGTAATACAGAATAAACTCTTCAAAGCACATCTTTACCTTAGAAAACATTAACAGAAACAATGAGGCTCAGGAAACCCCAAATTGCTCAATGCTTTTACTACACAGATCCAATGAGAAACATGTTGGAAGGTTTGGTTTGTGGTTGGTTGGGTTTTTGGGGTTTTTTTTTTTACGTTGAGGTTTGACGCACAAATTGGTCTTAAAATATTTCATTATGAATATTTTGGAATTACCACAGACTCGTACAATGAAAAGGCTGCTCCTTCTTGAGATATCTGCAGACACTGTGTTTCTCCAGATGATGCAGTTGGGTTTTTTTGATTCAAACAGAGCAGCTACTGGCAAACCAGTGAGTTTTTAACTTACTGAGGATTTATCAGGATAGACACCGGCTCGTAGCAGGGATGCCTTCCAGCTATCCACCTCCTCTTGGGAGTCACAGGCTAGCTCAAGGAAACGGTAATCCTTGTAAACATTCCTAGAACAAAGAGCACCACATTTTAAAACTAGCATTTTACTACTCTCTATCATGCACACAGCATTTTCAATTAAAAATCCTTTGAGATCAGAAATTACTTGGCATTTGGACAACAGACTTTATGGGACAGGTGCTTGTTTAATAATTACATGGAGTACTTAAAAATATCTTAGAATGCTCCAGCACAGCTCTGGAAATAATAATCAGCTAAAAGCATCGTGAAACTACTTAAAATTGATTTTCCTGCTTTTGCTAAAACAGAGAACTTTTAGGGAAAAAAAGGGTGTTGTGATATGAGGACAAACACATAAGACATGCCAATGTAACATCACAGCTTGTGATAGACTGCTGCTATAACCAATAAACACCAAAATCATCACTGATGCAACTTCTTCCTATGTTAAGTCCTTCCAGTCCATTTTATACCTTTTTTAGTTTTTAGACATCATCAGTAAAAGAGGAAAAAAGAGCAATGATAATCAAAATGTTTTTAAACAAAAAAAACAAACCACTGATGTCTCTCATTGTAGTAAGAAAACTGGGGCATGTTTAAATAAAACCTCTTGCAGGTAGTTCACATAATGAGATAAATACAGGGGGAAAAAAAAGGGAAAAGAGGAAAAATACAGCTGTAGGAAGGTGATACTTGTAAATTCTTCAATGAACAGAACAGATTTTCCCCTGACAGTTTAGCCATTACTTTCTGAATCCCAATTCTATACACAGACCAGATCACTGTAAATTTGTCAGCCAACAATCTTTTTAGGAAAGACCACAAGCTTAGCTGAGAAGCGTTAGGAAACCACATTTTGCTAGATTTTAACAGTTGCACAAGGATCAATCTTCCATCCTAACTAGACTGTTTTCTTCCCTTAGCAAGCTGTGGAGGAGAGGGGTTGATGGAGATTGCTTCACTCTCAATGACAAGGGGGGGAAAAAAACCTGAATTCACTATGGAATAAAGAAATAAAGCTATTATTGTCACTGCCTAGATAAATTTCTTTAGCATTCTGGGAATGGTGGGATTTCACTGCCACAGTGCTGGAACACAAGTGACTTGATGTAATTCCCACTCCCAGAAGTGATTCTCTCCTAACCAACAATGTGACCAGGCAGCTCACAGCCAGGCTTTGCAGGGGCAGTCTCAGGAAACAGGTGAAAAAAAGGTAAAAGAAGTGTAATTAAACCTGAGAATGAAGCAGCCATGACACCAAATCATTAAATTATCACCTATGAAACCACAGTACAACAACCAGAGCACGCCCACTCTGAAGAGAGCAAAATGAGGGATTTTTTAGCAGGCTCGTAACAAAGAATAAAGGACATACTCAGATTTATTTCCTTACATTGGTGACTCAATTCTCACCAAATTCAAAGGCTAAATCTGAGCACACCAGGTTTGCACTACTCCCTTTAAAAACCCAGAGTGGAGGTGCCACCAGGGCATTTCCCCACAGTTCAGCCACAGCCACTGACAGGATGAACAACTGAAAGCTCAGTGGATTCTTTTCTTGATTGAGAAATTTAAAATTAATCCTTTTTCTTCCCTGACTCCAGAAGTACTAACCCTGTCTTAAGGCATATAGTAGATGACCTTATCAGAATCTGTTACCTTAAACTGAGAAAACACCTGAATTTTATTCAGTTTGTGATATTGTGGAACTCCAAGTCAACATTTACTGAGCAAAACAAAGAAGTAAATTAAAAAAAAAGAAAAGATAAAAGATAAAAAAGAGAGAAGCATAATGAAATTGCCAGAGAAAAAAATGCTTTAATTTATTGTTAAGAGAAACTTTTACTAAGATAAGCTTTTTTGGATAAGATAACGAAGCAGATATAACTTTGAAGAAATAGGAAGCTGAAATGGTAAAAGGGTATTCTCAGCAAAGATGACTAAAAATAACAATAGAGCAAATAAAGGCTGTAAAACATAGTGATAGGGAAGTTCCAAAAACACTTATCTGCAAGAGCAAAACAACATGACACCAGCTTGTGAAAACATTTTTTCAGGCCTGTCATGTTATATATTACACTTTTTGGCATTTTGTGGCTGTGTGAGCAGGGGTTCCAGCCAAGAACACGTGGGAGCTGACACTCCTGCATCCTGTCTCTGTGTCAGGACTTCTCCTGAGGCTGGGGACACCTCATGGGCCAGCTGATGTCTCCAGATCTCCCAGACCCTTCTTTCTCCTCCCTGTAGGATCTGAGAGCTCTTTGGTCACTGCAGCACGTGTGAGGAGCTGAAGGATGCACGCCCTGAGTGCTCCCAGGAATGTTCCAGAAGGGCAGGTAAGGGGATGCTTGTCTCCCCAGCTGCTTTCTTTGCTGCTAGGCTGCCTGTCTTTCTCCTAGAAAGGCAGACAAGCATAGAAACTTTTCAAAGGGAAAAAAAACCAAACTAAAATAACTTCTTTCAGTAACTTCTGAAAAGAGTGTGTCCTTTTTCTGTTACCAGTGGAATCTTACAAAAACATATTAACATGTTTTACTCATTAGGAATCCACTGGCGTCTCATGGAAAGCTGTAAAAATGTTCTTGAAAACAATTCAGATTTTCTGTTTTCTTCTCTCTTCCACTTCTTAAAATTGCTGAAGACATCAGCACAGAAACAGTTACTACTCCAGCCTCACCTGCATTCTCCATCTGGAATACTGTGATGTTCTCACTGTCATCTCTCTAGCAGCTAAATGAGAAGTCAAGACATCAAGGACTTTGACAGAATAAAGGATACCAGGAGAGATGAACTCTCAACAATACCAATCTTGTGGATATTCAGGCATCTGTAAATCTAAGGGGCTGCAGAAATAAGAGATACAGAAAATGGAAACTGCCATTTGCAAGTAGTATTTCCCTTGAACATTCACCATTTCTTACATGTGAACACATAAATGAGAAAACTTCATCTACCACATCTACCTACTCCACTTCCTCCTGGAGTCTCATCACTGTAATTCAGTATTACACATAATACTAAATATTAATATAATATTACATAATGAAAATATAACCATAGTGGCACTACTGGAAATCAACATATTACTGTGATAATGCTGCCTTTTTATTTCTCAGAGTAAAAAAATACAAAAGGCTACCATTTGTTATCAGCAGATTTTATTATACTCTAGATAAATAAACCTCAACTTGGAATTGCATTCCACTAAAAATACAACATAATTGCTCGTGAGGATGAACAGACAATTGGACTAAAAGCATAATTTTGCAGTTCTGGAAAGGTTCCACACTCAGGACCTGCCTTCTCTAAGCCAGACCCATCACCTCAAAGTCCAGCAGCCACCCAGCTGTGACTTTGCACACCCTACAACTTCTTCACTCTATTTTTACCTTGTTTTCCTGATTCCTTTCCCCTGTGTATTTCAGGGCCTAATAAAGAAATGTTGTTTTCCTGATTCCTTTCCCCTGTGTATTTCAGGGCCTAATAAAGAAATGTCCACAGGTGTTTCTTGAACTCCTCCCATCCAAAAACCAACAGGACTGGATTAAGGTATTTGGAAGTGCCCAAGAGGAAAGTGAGAAATGCCAGGTAAGTTTGAAGACTGACCCAGCTGTGAGTTACTGAGATTTCCCTTCCACCCACCCTAAAGCCTGGGCAACAAACCTAAAAATTTTTGAAGGGCAACCACTGCAGGCCCATTACAAACCCAGTTAACATGTGCATATACATTAATGTATCCTCACACATAACCATGTGCACACAGAGCTCTTAGGCTGAGCTGGATTTCAGTAGACAAAGTTGTACTGGAGATGCATAAAATTCCTTTTTATAGAGAGAAAATACAAACCAAGAATAATTAAAAATTAATTTATTCTTGCCAGTGTGGGAGGAGATAGAACAACCATTACACAGCAAGAACACTAGTGTTATTTTTTAGAATTGGGCCTAGAAACTACTTTAATCCTTTGAAGAACACAAACCTGTATTTAGCTTCAGCAGTCCCACTGACACAAGTGAAGCTACTCACAAACTGAAAGATAAAAGAAATATCTTCTTTAAAAGGGATTCCAAAGGGATTTTTTTGTAAACATCTCGTCTCTATTAGGATGGAAGCAGAACTGATGGTTAGAAATCTAGAGCTAAATGCAAATTGATCCCATTTATTCCATGAAAAACACAAAAGATTCAATTCTTAGGTATTTGTTACTTGATTGAAATTGGAAACATACAGAATCTGGGTTTAATGAATAGTCACCTAAAATGAAAAGGGGAGAAAATAACAGAATCCAGACACTCCAGCTATTGGGAAAGGTAGCCTTGGATGATATTGGATGTTCTCTGTCTATTTAACCTGCAGCTCCACTGTGCACACTCTGCTTATTCAAATTTACTCTTATGACTAAATTTGAGATTTTGGACACCTGTAATTGCACAATGGCTGGTTGAGCATGTGCACTTTTTTCTTTTTTTATTCTAAATAAGAAATCTCTACCAGAAGCTCTGCAAATCATATATTTTGAAGAAACAAAAATGGCCATCTGCTCTGAGTTAACAGCAATGACTAACATTTTCTATCCATTTCAGATCACTCCAATGTGAATGCTAATTAAAATTAATTACACATGGCTCTGAAGATTCTTTCTTTCTTAATATCTAGAAAAGCCAAGGAGACAATGCCATGAAATAATAACACTTGGGGATTTTGCCACCTATGTCATGTGAGTACTCTCCCAAAAGCATATGGATCTTTTCAAGCACACACACCCAAAACACACAGAAACCCCCACAAGTTTAAGGTGCAAATGAACAGAAGATATGCTGCTCAGTATATAGGCCAGCTTTGGCAATGAAGTATCTCGAGTTCTGTATGTAACCCAGAAGAGAAATGCAGCCAAAACTAACACCACCCAGGCCAAAATCCACAGTAGTAACAGTGACTGCCACTAAAATATTCCATAAGTCCCTGGAGGAGAAGGTTTGATGCCTTTGGCGGGGAGGGATGAAGCCTGGTTTGGAATCTGCCTCGGGGCCACACAGAGACACAAAA